TGTATATATATATATATACAGTAGCGTCCAAAACTAAGGGACAAAATTTTAAAAGCTAATATTTGTTAGAAATAACAACTGTGAAAAGCTGAAATTTTGACAACTGGTAGTCGTTATCATCCATAATAACATACTAAATTTGAATCATTTGCAAAGGATAGAAAAAGAATTATAACAATTATTTATTTTCAAATTTGGAACGTCCAAAAGTAAGGGACAAAATTGAGAAAAACAATGTAAACGGCAAAAAAACAATAAAAATACATGTACAATCAATATTTAGTAAATGAGCCCTTGCTCTCAATGACAGCTGCACATCTTCGACTACAAGAACGAATCAGTTCTTGACAATCCTCGATACTAATTTTAGACCATTCTTCTTGAAGCTTCACCCACAAATCCTCCGTGTTAGTGGGATTTCTTTCCATAACTTTCACTCCTAAGGTCTTCCAAAGATTTTCTATTGGATTTAAGTCAGGACTTTGCGGTGGCCAATCCATAATTTCCAAATCTTGCTCGCTAAGGTAACACATTACCACCTTTGCCTTGTGACATGGGGCATTATCTTGCATAAAGGTAGCCCTATCGAAACCTGAATTCTGTATGATTGGCACAACATGATCTTGAACAATATTTTTATAGATCTGCGCATTTACACGAGTTTGTAACCGGACAAGAGGCGTTGTACCTTGGCTAGAAAACATTCCAAATACCATGACGCTTCCGCCCCCAAACTTGACAGTTTTCTTTGGACGCTGCTGTATATTTGAACCATTTTTTAATTACCCCTATTTTTGAGTACAATCCAACTTCTTAAGAATGTATAACTGTTTGTATTACTAATATTTTTTAAAGTATTGCTGATAATAATTTCTTCTTCAAAAATGATTGCTAGTAATATTTTTTTTATTACAAAGTATTTCTGATATTAAAACCAATTTTTACAAAAGTCTGGGTGTTAACTATTTGCCCATAGCTGAGACCCCCCAACAGGTGCTACCACCCACGATCAGGGTGGACCTGGGAACACCAGCAATTAAAAGGTGGTTCCAAGCTCCTCAAAACCTCCTGGTCAAAGGCTTTGCTGTTAGGACGTAGTTTATTGTCTTACCCAGGACGCGTATGTAGTTTATCGTCATACCCAGGAAGGTAGAAAGATGGGAGACAGTTGTTAAAAGAATGGAGACTATGTAGTTGATTAACAGACATTGTTTTTGTGAGTAAGCTATGAGATAATTAGTTGGATATGTATCAGTAAATCATTATTATCTCAAGAAATTCTTACAATTTAAAAATATTTTCTGGCTTTAAATAACCTGGAAACGGTTGATAAGCTTTTAAAAAATAACCAACCAATCAATATAATACTACACTTTACAGACATACTAGTAGCTTATCGTATTCATATTATCATAAGCAAGAATTATTAAACCAATATATCAACATTTATTCTTATCTAAACATATGTAAATAAACCTCCATCTTAAAAACATTTATTTTATACAAATATTTATTTTTCAAAATAATCTCCTCCCTTGCACTTAATTTTGTGGCAAATACGTAGGTACATCAATAAACCTGCAGCCTAAAATCATAATCTTAGTAATGTTAGTGTTACTTTTAATTTTCTAATCGGAGAGGAACTAATGTCTCTATATATACTAACAATGATCTAATACGTACAGAGAGAATTCAATCCCACGCCACATCACCTGTTCGGTGTCAATAAGAAGCTGGTTTATTAAAGGTGTATAAATCTATTTACAAATGAACAGAATCGAATTCCCGGTCTTTAAAAATCTGAGAATATACTACGTTTAATATTACTGTGGCATTTTTTTTAATCATTTTACCCCAAGCGAGCCGGTAATGCCACTAGTACGCATAGGTTTACAGATAATGAAAGTGAAAGAACAGACTGAGAATAGAGAGAAACGAGGAAAAGAAAAAAGTTGAACGGGGTTCAAAAAGACAAAAAAGATCAAGGAAACGGAAGAGTGTCCACAGGTGGGAAATGCGAAAAAAAAAAAGAAACTTGGAGTAAAAGTGATGAATGCATTTAGCTATTTCAGCAATAAAATGGTGGGACCCAGTTGCCAATCTACTAACAAGCTTAAATTCATTTAGTCGGGGCACCCGGAGGAAAAAGCTCATCAGTTGGCATGGAAATATTAGTAGAAGAGACATTTATTGAAATGCCTTCATTCTCGAATATCCCGCCTATTTTCTGAATAGAACTAAATTTATAGATTTAATATTTAACACAAGAATTCATTTCAAGTAGTTGTCCACATTTTGGTAAACGCAGGCATCGTTTTATATACTTTCGTGACAATTTTATCGCATGCCTATCATATCTATAAATATACTTATTAGCTAAATGCAACTCGTGAGGCATCTATCTTTTATTTACGTAAAATACAAAATAACTATGCCTAACTATTATCAAGAATAATTTAACGCATAATTAGTTAATGAATTATTTTTAGAATTGAGTTTATATTTGGATACTCAAATTGGGTTGAGATAGTGAAAGGTGCATGCAAATATATCCATGTATTTGAATACGATTATGCGTGAATGCGCACGCGTTTATATTAATCTATG